CCTACAACAAGCAGAGTTTGAATCGCGCGGACCACAGTTGAACTCACAGCCCACTAGCGCCCTCTGCCCCGAGCTTCTCATATCGCCATCCCCATGATGAAAGAAAACATCAGAATTGAAAACATGAGTATCAAAGCACAAAACATCAGAACTGACAACATGAGTATAAATGAACGAAATTAAAATTGACAACATTCTGAGTATGATTGACAACCTTATCAGGACAGACACCTGTGATGACGAAGACTGTACCGAATGACTCCAGCACTAAATTGACTACGACATTTAACTTGACCGAATGACTTTCACACCACAAGTGTGTGTCTTCAAATATAATGACATTTGAAGACACCCACTTGTGATAACAACGCGACTAGATAGATAATTGACGACATTTAACTTAACCGAATGACTTTCACACCACAAGTGTGTGTCTTCAAATATACTGACATTTGAAGACACCCACTTGTGATAACAACGCTACTACATAGATGATTGACTACGACATTTAACTTAACCGAATGACTTGTGTTGACGACGTCTATCACAGGGGTATGTCAAGACAATGGTCATTAAACCCCCCCACAATTTGTTGTGCAATCAATTTCAGCTCTAAAGCAGGCCCCCTAAGGGGACTCAGGGATGAGTCCCCCCGAGTTGCAGCTAGCACTGCTTTCAGACAGAAACTGACTGTCACCTCAAATTGTGACGAGGTTTAATGACCAAAAGAACTCACTCATCACTCAACCAAACAAGGGGGCCCACTTGCGGAAACCTTTCCGGCATAAACCACATTTCATTTTGCGCGCCTCCCTCTGCTCCAACAAACACGGAATGCAAAACATGTGGTTACACTGCAACAGCCTTGCCTGTAAGGGCCTCTCCAAACAGATCGAACATATGGGGCCGATGCCCAGATCAACTTGAGCAACAGCAGCAGGAGCCGGAGCCGCAACAGGTGCTGCTGGAGCCGCAATAACAGGAAGTGCTGGAGCCGCAATAACAGGAAGTGCTGGAGCTGCAGTAACAGGAACTGCTGGAGCCGCAG